TCTCTCTCTCTCTCTCTCTCTCTCTCTCTCTCTCTCTCCCTCTCTCTCTGAGGCCCCGGCGATGGATAATGAGCATAAGTGAGCCATGGGGCCTCCGCGCACAGGGACACGGCAGAGCCGAGAACGTAGTCTGTGGCATTGCAGCGAGCCTCCGCACAGAGCATCATTGAGGACAGCTGCGCGTTGTGCATGCAACTCCCAACAAAAAAATGGCACAAACAAAAAAAACAAAAGAAAAAAATGAATAGGAGAGAGAGAGAGAGAGAGAGAGAGAGAGAGAGAGAGAGAGAGAGAGAGAGAGAGAGAGAGAGAGAGAGAGAGAGAGAGAGAGAGAGAGAGAGAGAGAGAGAGAGAGAGAGAGAGAGAGAGAGAGAGAGCAGAGGAGGAGGAGGAGGGGGGAGGCGACAGAGAGCCAAGCTTGCCATCAGACAGCTATGTTCGGAGTGTATGTATGTGTATGCGACTCATTCTATTCTCGTCAATCTCCAAGTGGCCGTTGACCTGCTTTCCTCTGTCTCTCTCTCCCTCTCTCTTTTTCTCTCTCTTTTTCTCTCTCTTTTTTTCTCTCTCTCTCTCTCTCTCTCTCTCTCCCTCTCTCTCTCTCTCTCTCTCTCTCTCTCTCTCTCTCTCTCTCTCTCTCTCTCTCTCTCTCTCTCTCTCTCTCTCCCTGAGGCCCCGGCGATGGGTAACGAACACAAGCGCCTGGTCAGTTACATGCACCAGTCCCTTTTGACTGGATCTAGCTATGTATATTATTGAGATGCATGGAAGGTAAACGGCTGCGGCATGTATAACTCGTTCTTTCTGTGCGCATCTCTCTCTCTCTCTCTCTCTCTCTCTCTCTCTCTCTCTCTCAAGTCCTGCAGTCGATCGAAGCGTGCGTTTGGCTGGCTTCCCAGTACGGGTCGCACAGCATACAAGCCGCCCTATACACTCGTCACTTTTGCGTTTTTCTTCGTCATCCCTCTCTCTCTCTCTCTCTCTGTCTCTCTCTCTCTCTCTCTCTCTCTCTCTCTCTCTGTCTCTCTGTCTCTCTCTCTCTGAGGCCCCGGCGATGGATAATGAGCATAAGTGAGCCATGGGGCCTCCGCGTCCACGCGCCGAAGTGCTGCACAGGGACACGGCAGAGCCGAGAACGCAGTCTGTGGCATTGCAGCGAGCCTCCGCACAGAGCATCATTGAGGACAGCTGAGTTGTGCATGCAATTCGCAACAAAAAAAATGGCACAAACAAAAACAAAATAAATAGAAGAAAGAGGGCAGAGGAGGAGGAGGAGGAGGAGGAGGAGGAGGAGGAGGAGGAGGAGGAGGGGGGAGGCGACAGAGAGCCAAGCTTGCGATCATACAGCTATGTTATGTGTGTATGTATGTGCGCGCGGCTCATTCTATTCGCGTCAATCTCCAAGTGGCCGTTGGCATGCTTTCCTCTGTCTCTCTCTCTCTCTCTCTCTCTCTCTCTCTCTCTCTCTCTCTCTCTCTCTCTCTCTCTCTCTCTCTCTCTCTCTCTCTCTCTCTCTCTCTCTTTCTCTCTCTCTCTCTCTCTCGCTCTTTCTGCCTTTCTCACACACTCTTGTTGTCTTTTCTGGATCTGTGCTCATGGTGCCGTTGGCACCCGAGCCAAAGATTTCGGAGGTCGTGACCTTGGCACACACAGCAAAAAGGAACGCAGCTGAAAACAAGGCAAGTTCTCGACCTCGGTGGGCACTCGTGGATGACAGCCTGTCCATGTGCCGGGAGCGGTTCGAGCAGAGGCGAGAGCTTACTGAGCCTCGAGAAGCGGTGTGTCAATTTCGTTTGCTAGCTGCATACTGTGTGGCATGAGGTCTCGAGGCTGGAAACCTCGCAACTAATTACTTGACAGAAGCAGTACTGTTGCAGTCACCCACAGCGGGCGATCTGCAACAGTCGCCTAATGGAAAGGGTGTACGCAGAATCTGGAAGACACAGTGCAGTAGTTTGCCTCAGATGCCGGGAACTCCACCCAAGATCTCCAACCCGCCGAATCGTCTCTATGACTCTATGCCGAACGGACAGCAGGACCTGTGGGCGGGCATTGGAAGCTCGGCGTATGAGTGTTCCACGTTAGCTAGGTACCATTTCGTGCGAGGTCTGGTGGCTGCAAGTCTAGAAGAGGAGCAAGTTTATGCGTGAAAGCGAAGGCACAGACTTGCTGTAGCGTTTACTTCGCGAGCACACTTATCGCAACCAAGATAAGGAGCATCCTCGAGTGTAGGAAGTCCAGTACAGCAGGATTTTCTGTTAGCTGCAAACATTATGGTGTGAAGTGAGCAGGATGCGATAGCTGAAGAACAAAAGCGCCGTGACAGGCGACCACTGGGTCCACCGTCGTTCCGGGTGAAGTGTCAGCAGCTTCATGGCAGTTGCTTGACGAATGCTTCCAAGCTGGGGTCAGCTCCACTGCGCGCGGAACCAAGCAGAAACTCAGAAGAGGATTCTTCTGCCGGCCCGTCCCGCACCGAGTGTCTTCGCGGCTCGACGTTTAAGAGCTCTCACGGCAGGGCCGAATCCATGCGTCCGTCATCAGCACGCATCCTGACATTCGGCATGCCAGCAACCTGTAGAGCCAGCAGGCGCCGGTGGTCGCGAGTCCACCACCTCTGAGTGCGAGTCGTTGCTCTCGCTTCGCTTCTGTTTCCATGCATGGAAATCCCTACTTAGGCGGCCGCTGTGCTTATAGCATGTATAAACGTGGTTATAACTGCGGCGGTATGGGCTTCCTCGTAGACAACTTAGGATCAGTTATAACTATTCTGCGAGAGCCGATTCTGGGGGGTTTGCGAGAGAGCATTTTTTGACCATGTGGGTTGTTGTTTATCGGCTGTTACGGGTATAAAAACGGATCATGTTTTGACCACTTGGGTTATTATTTTTCGGTTGTTCCGGATGTAAAAACGGGTTCGCGGGTATATATTTTTCGCTTTATACGGATGTAAAGCGGGTTTGCGGATTGTTATTTTCGGTTGTTACGGATGTAAAAAACGGAGCATGTTTTGACAACTGGGTTGTTACTTGGGTTGTTCTGGATGTGAAAGCGGGTTTGCAGCTTGCTATATTTTGGAAGTAAACATGCGTCCATGATGGGTTGTGCAATGGTTTGCATGCAGGTAAAAGCGAGTTTGCTGGCAATGGTGCATCAGCTCATTTTCCTCGATCCCCTCGCGGGAGGTCAAGCCCCCGGTCATGCACCATTACAGCCGCGGCTATATACAAGGTTGCTGACCGAGCCATGGGCAAGCCGCAAGCTTGGAAACAAATTGCATGCAGGGCACGCTTCTGCATTTTGTCGAGAGTGCAGCGGCAAACCGCTCATCTGGAACCAGCTTGCATGCAGGGCGAGCCTCTGCATGTCAAGTTTCGCGCAACCTCACGCTTTCTGCTCCTTCAAGTAGGACACAACGCGGTTCCAAGCCTCCTCGGCACTTGTCGCTTTCCAGCTGAAAGCCTTGTCTTTCTTTTCTCCCAGCGGCCTCACTCGGTAGGCTTGGGAATTCACCGCCGTGTAGATCCTAAAGTTGCCCACACTGATGGCATCTCTTGCCTCCGTGCCTGGAAAGTCCAAAACTTTTCCAACAGCTTTGGCTTTGGCTTCTGCTTTGGCTTTTGCCTTGGCTTTTGCCTTGGCTTTTGCTTTGGCTTTCGCCTGAGGCTTTTCCGCCCTGGCTGCGGCCTTCTCGTCCTTTCCTTGCTGCAGCTGCTCAGCGATTTTCAAAGTTATGTCATCCACGGCTTCTTCCGCTTCGGGCGGCTCCAGAGCAAGCGGCTCGGCGGCTTCCTCCTTGCTTTCCTCCTCCTCCGCCTGCTGCACAGCTTGCTTGCTGCGCTTCTGGTCGGGGCTTGCAGTCTCGCTGCCGCCCTGGCTGTCTTCACCACCGTTCATGAGCGCCAACGGCCTCTTCCGGGCGCCTTGCAGCATCTTGAGTGCTGCTCCGCTGCAGCCTGCAGAGAAGCCTCCATTGCATCTGCCTTCAAACAACTGCAGAAAGAGCTGGGACATAGCCTCCTGCAGGTGCGTGTCCCGGCCTGTGAGTCGCAAAGGGGTCTTGGCCCGATCCACGCTGCTGTGCGTCTTCCGGGCTGGCAAGGCGGAGTCCACAAGGACCAGGTCTGAGTCTGCCAGCGGACTGGCAGACGGGGTTTCGGTCCCGTAGGCCTGCAAGTAAAGCTCCCGTGGCAAGTCAGCTGGGCTGGCGGGGTAGAGCAGGAGCTTGGAGTACTCGCCTTGCTTCGCAAAAGCTTTCACCATCGTCTTGAAATCTTGCAAGCAGCTGTAGGCCTGCTGCGCATTGATGCTGAGGGTGTTGATACCCCCATCACCATTGTAGTTTGCGACAAACAGCACCACAAGAGCATACTTGCTCGTTCTTTCCGAAGGACACGTCAGGCCGATGCTCACGTATCGGCGGGCAAGGAGCCGAAGCTTGTCATCCCAAGACCGCTTCGGGTTACGAAGTTGCTCCCACTCCGTCTCAAGCAGGTAGTTCTCCAGATGCCTGCACTTCTGGAGCTTCTTCGTGTTCTTCTCGGCCTTGGCAGCAACTTCCTCAGCAGCCTCGCCGGCAGCGTCGGCCGAAACTTTGCTTTGCAGCGCCTCCACCAGAAGTTCCTTCAGGTTTTGGCGCAAGCCGCTCTGCGTGATCTGCGCCAGCAGTTTGCTGGCTTGCGCAAAGCACATGTCCGGAGCGGACAGCAAATCTCTGATTACACCATCCACCATCTTTCGAAGATTATCCTCATTCTTCCCAATGCCGCTCTTTTCGAGGGCTCCTAGGAATTCCAAGGCTTCTTCCAGCCGCTTCTGAGACATGCTGCAGCTAGGCGGCTTGGGGACAAAGCAGGGCAAGGCCTCTGCACCAAAAACTGCGAGCCGGCGTTGCGGCGTTGCAGCCAATAAATCAGAGCAATATACCCAAATGCATGCACACACGACAGCTATACATCACTTGCACGGAGGAAGCCTGAAGAGTTTTCACGTGCACGGTCACACTGCAGTCGCTGAGTTCAAAAACCAGGTTGTTTTAAAAAAGCGGGCAAGCCTCGCCGTGGCAGGACATTGCCTTGCGAGTCCGCGCCGTGGCCTTGAGGCTGCGGAACCCTCAGGAACTGCTGCTACTGCTGCAGCAGCGCTTAGCCGGCTTCTTCTTCACTGGCCCAGCAGCCACGGCCGATGCAGGCCTCTTCTTCACAGTTGCCGACTGCTCGGCGGCCGACGACTGTCCATCGCTCGCAGCCACCGCCTTGCTGATCTGCGCCTCAAAGCGGCTCGCCGCCGCTGATCCCTGCCAAGGGTGCACATATGCCAGCTTGCCTCTTGCCAGGGCCTGCACGGGCCGTCGTGCAACAACTCCTGCTTCTCCGACATGGCTCTCAGGAGCGGCCCCAAAACGGCCATCATGAGAGGAACCTTTTGTAGACTTCCGATCAACATAGAAAAAACCACTGTATACACACATCAAGATCATGTATTTGTGAGACAAGACACCGGGTAGGCGTTTCCGGACGCCTTCGTCCTCAGAGCGTCGCTCTCACCCTGCAGGGTGTTCGGCGGGAAGCCTTGCAGAGCCATCCGCTCCTCGCACCGCAAGAAGCGCCAGAAGGCACGCTGCTGCGGCCCCATGTGCAGGTCGTCCATGGAGGCGACGAAGAGGCGGGTGTTGGCCGTCGTCAGGGTCGGCGCCACATCAAAGAAAAACTTCCGAGGGTACGTCATGCCCTCCGACCGGTCAAGCGGCCAACACACCACAGAAGCGGTGCTGCCCTCAGCGGCCAGCTTCCGCAGCGCCCGCCAAGCATCGGCCAGATTCTTCTTCAAGCTGGCCGTCAGCTTGGAGACGTCCACGGGGGGCAGCCCGGGTGCCAAGAACTCCCGAAGAGTTCTCCGGCCGAAAGGCCCCAGCGGCTGTGGCACGCCGCCGTAGCCTGAGCGGATGCCGACGAGAAAGACTCTCGTCCTCTGCTGTGGCAAGCCATAGTCCACCGCGCTGAGGCAGTGAAAGCCCCAACTGAACTGGGCAACCTCCGCACGCAGGAGCACCTGCAGGGAATCTATACAGAAAACCCCATGGAACTCGCACCTGTGGGACAAGCCCTGCATGATGCATGTCCACGCTGCAGGGAGCAATGCCTCCGCATGTGCATGCATGGGCATGGCCTCATGCATGATGAAACCGCATCCTTCCGCGCCTGCATGAAAGGCTCATGCTGCCCAGGCAGCTTCTGCGAGATGCCCACGACATTCTCGATCACCATGGCGGAGAGCTCGCCCACCATGATCAACATCACCGCGAGCTTGATCACGGCAATGAGGACCCAGCTCCTTGCGTCCAGCGTGGACTGTCGCTTGCCTTGCAGACTCCACGGCGGGCAGGGTGGCCCGCTCACCAGCACGTCCACGGGCCGCTGGACCTTGTCCATGGAGCGGGCAAGGGCAGTGATGTCTCCTGCCTTGCCCGCATGGACAAGCGTATCTGCAGGGAGGTGGTCCTGCAGATAGCGCTCGTACCTGCCCTCGACATCATGCACCATGGAGAAGCGTGCATCCGTGATGCCGAGGACTTGCAAAGCGTGGCCGCAGCCATCGATGCCCGTGCAGGGCACCGCCACGTTCAGCGGCCGAGTGAAGACCGGCGCTTGCCAGCCCTCTGGCGGCTGCACCGAGGGCAGCTCACATGTGAGCTCCCTTTTGGGCAGCTGCTCGCCTTCGGGCAGCTCCACTCCAGCATCTGCTGCCGGTTTCTTTGCCGGAGCCTTGGCAGCTGACAGCTGGCTTCTTTGCCGGCCTGGCCGACATGCCTGCAGGGGACAAGCCTCCTGCTGCTGTGCTCTTGAACCAACGTCGCGGATTTACAGCCTGTGTCATGCTCATGGCAAACTGAATTTATGCATGGGGCTGGGACAGATTGCAAGGGCATATATAGGTCCCGTTGCAGAACACTTCTTTTAAACCCTCTTCTCCCCGGGGGTTCTCTGTGCACGGCGCTGTTGGCCAGTTTAGCCCGTGCAGGGCAAGCCTCTGCAAGGCTCAGTCCTTGTAGTCGCAGCGGCAGTCGGCGGAGATACACTCCAGGGCCTTTCGATCTTTTTCTCCCAGCATCGGGGAGATGTAGCATCTGTAGCAGGACAAGCAGGCACAGTGCCCCGATCCTTGCTCCAACCACCACATCTCGTTCGCCAAAAAAAGGCGAAGCTCTGGCTCAGGGGCACCTTGCCGTCGGGCCTGCAAGCCTCATCCTGCAGGCGGACCAAGGCGTGTAGGTCTTCTGGCCGAAGCTTTAGGTCCTCCACGGCCTTGAGGGCTGCCTTCACGTGCCTTTCCGGCACGTCCTGCAGCACGTCCTGCACCTCCTGCGCAGCCATGGCGAAGGAGGCAAGCCTTCCTCTCGCAGAAAGCTTTCTGTCTACACTTGAGCCTTCTGCAGCTCAGGAGTGCAAGTTTGAAACCTGCTGAGAACTTGCAGAAACAATATCGCCTGCGGCACTCTTA